CCAGTACGAGGAGAGCCCATGATCAGGGTGAATCCAGTCGAAGTCGAGTAGTCGTGGAGGAGGAGTGGATTGAAGTCCTGATGGGCTGTCTTGGATGTGGGAATGTGGGAATGGAAACGGGACGGCGTTCAGGGACTCAGGAAGCGATCAGAATCCGTTCAAGACTGACGTGGTGATGGATGACGGGCCTGCAAGGCACAAGCAGAACAAGTTCAATCGTATTGAAGAATGGCAGGAGGGCACGCAAGACAATGTCATGTCACATCACACACAAGCAATGGCAACGGTGTGAGCGCAGAGCGGGGTTGGTTGTGAAGAGGACGTGTCAGTCACGGCGTCAGATTACACCATTCTGAGCAGATCTTCTCACAATCAATCAATCTCGGGATGAAGAGAGAGTACGCTCGCTTGTTTGCTCTTGCTTGCAAGCACGAGCAAAACAGGGGCAAACAAAGGAACAGTGCTCGCAATAAGAGCATTGCCAATACCTCTCCTCTATTCACACCTACACACCATCACAATACAACACAGGACGGCAAGCAACACACAAGGCACAAGAACGTACCACACGCGTGTCTGTGGGTGTGTGCTTGAAGGTTGAGAGGAGGAATGAATGGCTGTGGGCCTGGCGGGTGTTTGGCTTGCTTCGAAAGGACAGCCTGTTCCGTTACCCATGCATCGAATCTTTGCAGAGGTCGGGTTTATTTTTTTTTGAGTGAAAGAGGCGAAGGCAACAAGAAGAGCATGGGGAGTGCGAAAAAGAGGAAAAGAAGGAAGGGGGGGGGGGGACCCTGGCATGCTGGCATGCTGGGGTGGAGAAGTGGGTGGTGTTGGCAGTGGCGGGCATTGGGGGATTGTGCGTGCACGCTCCCTCTTGGAAATAACAAAACACCCGAAAGAAAATGGCACGCGTGCAGGCGCACCGTACACGAGGGAAAATGCGCACACGCTGAACACGTTCACAGACACGGAACAACAATCACAAAGCAAGCAGGCAGGCACAGGAACACACACAAGAACAACAAGAAGAAGAACAGTCACAGGAACGATAAGATGAGCAATCACAAGAACAAGAAGACGAGCAATCACAAGAACAAGAGCAAAGAACATGATCATGAACGTTGACAGATGAGGCCCTAACAAGTACTTGGTGGCGAGGCTAGCACGACTGACAGCTGTTAGCCTTTGCTCGTCTTTGATGTCAGCCACTCCAACCCTTCATAGAGCCCTTCCCCGGTGAGTCCGCAACACGACTGGATGTGCCAGCTGTGGTCCTTGATGGACGTCAGGTTGAACTCCTTGGAAATCTCCGCCGATGACATGGCGCCCTGCACATGAACGAGCGAGTTGGTGAATGTGCGTACGTTTGAGTGTGTGTGTGTGTGAGTGTGAGTAAGTGAGTGAGTGAGTGTGTGTGTGTGTGAGTGTGAGTGAGTGAGTGAGTGAGTGAGTGAGTGAGTGAGTGAGTGAGTGAGTGAGTGTGTGTGTGAGTGAGTGAGTGCATCGTGCACGCATGTGTTTGCAGCTGCGCCGTGTGTGCGGTGTGGCTGGGTTGCAATGGTGTGACATGGCAACCTAGCACATACACTGTGCCCCACCTTCAAATCCTGCTTGTTGGCGAACACGAGCACGTGTGCTCCTTGCAAATCCTACAGCGAGAAGCAAAACGCCGTGTGAGTACAATCAAACAAATGTGCAGAAAGCTGAAGCGTGGCCACAGTCACAAAAACCTGAGCTGGGATACACACGTCACTTTGTCACTTCATTCACGCACCTCATGCGCAAGCATACGGTACAGTTCCTCCTTTGCCAATGCCAGGCGTTCCCTGTCTGTGCTATCAATCACCAAGATCAGCGCCTAGTCGCAGCAACAGTACGAGTGAGAAGGGCGAGGGAGCAGCATGTGAGCACACAAACATTCCATATGACAAGCAAAGTGAACGGAGGAGTTGGTGGTGGGGGAGAATGGTAAGGCAGTCAATGCACGTCGTGTGGCACGGCATTGCGACGACGACACACACACACACACACACACACACACACACACACACACACACACACACACACACACACACACACACACACACACAGTCACACAGCACCTTTGCGCCGGTGTAGTAGGTGGTCCAGGACGCGCGCAGCGAATCTTGCCCGCCAATGTCCCACATCACAAAGTGCATGTTTTTGTATGTCACCTGAAACCACGCAGAACAGCAAGCAGAGCAAAGGCCACGAGCATGAGCTTGTGAGCTCAGCCTGCAGGGCATTTCGTGCACGGGCATGTGCGCGCCATATGAGCGCTCGCACCCCATACTGCACTCTGAGATGGTTCATACCTCTTCAACATTGCTGCCAATGGTCGGTGAGGTCACCACAACTTCACTCAACAAACTGAATGTGCCAAGCAAGCAGAACGGCGCCATGCATGGGCGAGAGCGTGTGCGTCAATCACTTCGAGGACCGCGGTGCGCGCACACACACACACACACACACACACACACACACACACACACACAGACACACAAGCACAAGCACAAGCACAAGCGCAACACGCATCTTCTCCGTCTTGTCTTTTGTTTTTTTCCGTCTACACACAGACACACAGACACACAGACACACAGACACACACACAGACACACACACACACACACACACACACACACACGCAAGCTTATGTGCCACGTACTACTGGTAGAGGATGGTCGTTTTGCCAGCGTTGTCCAAGCCAACAATGATGACCTTTTGCTCTGCAAGGCAAGCCATATGGAAACAAACATAGCAGGCATGCGTGCACGGACACTCAACATGAGCACGGTGACGGTCATCATCGTCATCTGCATGAAGCACCTCCCACGCCGCACGTGTACCACTGCCACGACCTATGCTCGCACATTGATTCTTGTTTGCGCACGTGCCGGGTCAATATGCGCCACCATAACCGTAGCAGCGCCGCCGCAAACACAACGCCACCACAAGCGTGGGCCACATCAGCACATCGCAACTAACCCCCACCATGCCCACCTTCTTTTCCCCAGAGGGAGTAGAGCGTCGACAGCAGTACACCCATGAAGAAGCCTTTGGTACGAGCTGTTCGTCTGTAGTAAACGTAGGGCGTGCGTGCGTGCGTGCGAGCGAGCGAGTGCGTGATCCGCGTGGGCGTCTAATGTGTGTCGGTGTTCCGTGTCTGCCTGTGCACCCCTTGCTCGGTGTGGGAGACAAGATCGTGGTTTGTTGTGTGGTGTGTCGCGTTGGTTGTTGTTGTGAATCACAATTAATTTACCCACGGGTCCCAGCAGACGAGCTGAGGCAAATTCACGCTTACCACTAGAACGAGAGGGTGGTAAATTTCCTGCGTGAGCTTTCATGTATGTCTTGCACCAATCGTCCATATTGTGCCTTTTTTTCCCTTCCTCCCCCGCGTGCGACGAACCAGCTTCTCTCCTTCCTTCCCACCACACCAGCATCATGCCTGCTGTAAGTGTGCATATGTGTGCGAGTGCGTGTGGGTGCATGTGTGTGTATGTGGGTGCGTGCGTGTGTGTGTGTGTGCGTGTATGTGTGTGTGTGTGTGTGTGTGTGCGTGTGTGTGTGTGTTTCAATGAGTGTGCGCATACATGCGTTTGCGTGCGTTTGCGTGCGTTTGCGTGCGTGTGTGTGCGCGCTTTCC